AGCCCAGCTTCCCTACCTGCCTACAGACAGGTCCCTCTCTGAACCTCAGGGTCTTCTCTGTGAAAGGGGCAGGGAAGGCTGCTCCCTCTCACCTCTGGTTATCAGGGTAAATGCCATCAAGGGACAGTTGGAGTCCCTTTTCTCCTCTAGTCCCAGTCTTGGGGAGAAAGACAACATGGCCCAGAGGGATGGGCAGTGTACCAGGAGTCAGCAGCTCTGAGATGGACAGGGCTCAGCCTCTTGCTCCAGGGACTCCTCCACAAGGGAAAGGGACACCCCACCTGGGAGCCTCTGTGTCTTTATCTGTAACATCTGGAAACTCAGGGTAAAACCGTCCTCCCTGCCTAAGTCCAGGGATGTGGGGAATCTCAGGTGCTGTGTCCAGAGGGAATCTGACCTTTTCCACATAAACTACCCACACCCTCTGACCCAGCAGTGCTACTCTCAGTGGACACCCCAGTGTGAGTAGGACAATCAGGTGCAGGTCATCCCTGATGCCTGTGTACCCATCCACAGGAGACTTGAAACTAAGTGATGGCGTTTCCATATGATGAGGTGTTCTGCAGGCCTTAAAATCAGAGGAGAAGCTCTGGCTGAGGCTGAGAGAGGTTTCCAGTCACCTGTGGATTGGAGTGTGAGAGACCTTCTCAACCTCTGAGGAAATGATGAAACGTAGCAATGCTGGCTTCTGCTCAGGGCTTCAGTTCAAGGAGCTTCTATTCAGTGTGTGCTGTGTGCAGGGCTCGTCCATGGACCGAGTGTCCAATGTCAGAGCAGCCAGGAGCCCGTCCTGGAAGCAGATCTGGGTTCCTGTCCAGACCCCATCACTCACTCACCATGTGACAGGCCCCATTGTCTCCCGGGCTCAGGTGCCCCGCAGTGAGTGGGGACTGAGCTGTACCACATCTAGGAGTTGGGAAGAGGATTCTGGGCCTCTGGCAGACACCCAAACAGAGCATCCTCTTTGCTGCCTCAACCAGGTTAACTACCTCCTAATCACCTACATGGGGTGACTCATCTCTGGGGTGAGGGACCTCCGGAGATGACCAGGCAGAGTCTTCTCTCAGTGGGGCCATCTGCCCTAAAGCACATGGGTTTTCCTGCTAGAGCCCACAACTGAGCCAGTCCTCTGGGCATCTCCCCCAACAGGGCTCTCACTTCCACTCCTCGTAGGACTTTTTGCTCAGTGTGATGTTTCTGAAGATGAAATAAGGAAACTCACAAGCTCTCTCGAACCTGCACCGACCCTCCCCTCACTGGAAGTGAAGAGAATAGAGACATCACGGGGAAGAGCTTGTGCCCACTTGTTCATTGCTGTTTTTAACCCAAGAGCAGAGCCGGCACACAGTAGGTCCTCAACACTTAAATTTCAAATAAGACTCTGGGGGCAGGAGGTGACCAGGACGACACCCACACGTTCAGTTCCCTCCTCTGTGGGGACCAGATTGGACAAGGTTCGGCTTTGGAGCAGGTGACTAGGTTTGCAGACTTTTCTCCCTGTGTCATCAGGGGCATTAAGCAATCTGCATGGACTCTAGGCTACAAATCCCTGGTCTGTAAAGGGGCTGGACGGTGACCATGAATATAAACACCCACCCTCACCCCAGATACTTAGTTGTTGCTCAAAGAACACAGGTATTATTCCTGAGCTATTGTCACACCAGGGGTGGGAGGCCCCGTCTGTACTCACCACTCACAGTGAGCCGAGTCCCAGGACCAGACTTAAACTCCTTATCAGGGGTCCCTTTCTGGAACTTTACACAATAGTAGGTGTTGGCGTCGGCCGGGGTGATGTTACTGATGCTGATGGAAAATTCCATGTTGTTTCTTTGTGTGGTGTCTGTCACACTTCTTACTCGGGGGTAGAGAGGTAACTGTTCTTGAGCTGCTTTGAAATTGTAGATAAGCTGCCGATCTGGTCCAGTACCCCTGAACCAATTAGTGGGCCCCAAGGGTTGTAGAGAGGAGACTATGCAGGGCAGAATGGCCGTCTCTCCAGCTGCGACCGACACCATCTCAGGTTGAGTCACCTGCAGCTCTTCCTCACCTGTCACTCCTGCAGGGAACATAGGGCCGTTATTCATCCTGTAGGATCCTGGTTTCACAAGTGCGTATCAGCAACAACTTCCACTCTCTGATGAAAACTGTGACCCAGCCTTGTGCTCAGCATGATCCATGCCTATCTCATTGACTCCTCACCACTGCCAGCATGCTGACACTGGATGACAAATGGGGAAACAGAGGCAGAGTGTGGTGTGCACCCAGTCTGAGGGGAGTTCTGAGCCCTCTCTGGAAGAGCCATGTGGGAGTTGGGCTCTCAGATTCAAACCTGGATTGTGCAGGAGAGGGGCCTGTTGTTCTTGACAGAGGACCCGGCCTGGGACAAGGCTCAGGTGTGGGGCAGCGTGTGTGCGTGGGGCTCAGAAAGGAGCCTCGGTTCTGTTTACAGCTGACCAGGAGCAGCCCCAGCAGGAGCCGTACTCAGTGGTCTCAGTTCCCTGTGTTGTGGAGCAGAGGAAAGATACATGGTGTGAAGCGGAAGGACTTGGGTGTGACCCTGGATATCACTCAGGTGTATAACAAGGCCAAATGGGGATGCTCACGAGAGGGAGCCCTGCAAACTGCCTTAGTGTGGATGGTTCCTTTGTTGCTGATGAGTCTTAATTATATCTTCTGTAGACTAGTTACTGTGACCCCATCTGGAATCTTAGAGACGGTTAAATACATTATTGGTAGAGACCATGTCAAAAGGAGAGATTGGCCTTTGGAGTCATCAGACCTGGTTGGAAAGCTGGCTGGACCCATATTTATGTGTGACTCCAATTACCCACCAGTTCTGGGTGTCTGCTTCCTCATGTAGGAGCTGGTATAGCACCCCACCCTCTGCTCTGTTCTGAAAAGAAAATGAGTTCACATGTAGATGTCACCCACACCGGGCTGGGCACAAGGAGCCTATTCTTGTCATGATATAAACAATGAGGGATTGGGGAAGGGGCTGCTGCTAAAATGCCCCCCTAAACTGATGATGCCCCTATTGGCCAGGCCACTGCTGAATAAGGGGCATATGGTAGCTGGGCCCAGTCCAGGCTCTAGGGCTGCTGAGCTGGGTAGCCGGAAGGAGCCAAAAGCCAAAATCAAGGCCACTTGGAGTACAGGAAACACGACTATGGTAGAATAGTTGGCGGATTGGCAATGGGAAACCACAGGAGTGAGGGCAAATGGGCAGGAGGATGTTACTAAAGACATACAGGGATCACAGATAACAACCCATGGCCTGACTGTGAGCAACTTGGGAGTGAGAGGAGACGAAATATGAAGACACAGACCACAATGACCAGGGAGCCACACAGAGAGAAACAGAATGAGACAGAGGGAACGGCAGACAGAGATAGGAGGGAGTGGGGGAAAGAGTCAGTAAGCAAGACAGAGATGGGAGACAGGCAATCAGGTCCAGCCTGAGCTCTCCACTGACCCTCGCTGTGACCTTGTGCAAGTCCTGTCCTGTCCTGGCACCTGGCCATTGCACATTAATCAGGGCTGCCACAGACGCAGAGGTAGGGGTGTGGCTAGTGTCGCCCACCAGAGGGGTGGGGCTGGTGGCAGGTGTGTGAGAAACACAGAGAGGCACAGGGGCGCAGAGGCACAGTTGAGACACTACCCAGCGACATCAGAGGTGTCAGGCTATGAGACCAATGATGTATTACAACACGGCTTCCCCTCTTAGCCAGCTCCGTACCACTGTCTCTGGGCCTCATGATCGATAAAGTTGGGAACCAGCAATTACTTCCAGGAGAACCCTAAGTAAGGACTGTATGGCCCAGTCATCCACAGCACCTGTCTCATAGGTGGTGCTACCCAAATTCTGCCCCTGCCCCATCATTATCATCACATAGACACAGGATTCATATTTTGATTTTCTCGTGACCCTCAGATCCCCCCACTAGCATTGTGAGGTACACAAGGGACTCTTTCTGTCCCCTGGCCCGGAACAATGTCTGACACAACAGCGGAAAAAACAGAAGATTTCTATTCGATTCCAACTCATGGCCACCCTGTGTGTCTCATAATACACCAGGCCTTCAAGGCTGTGACTTTTGGGAAACAGATCACAAGACCTTTCTTCAGAGCTACCTCTGGGTGATTTCAAACTGCCCTCCTTTCAGCTAGTTGTAGATTTGTGTCATCTGGGGACCCCTGGCACACCCGAGACCTGCAATAGAGGAGCTGCATGTGAAGGGCAGAAAGGCCATCGTGGCTGAAACCCGTGGAGGAAGGGCAGTGTGGAATGAGAATCAGCTGGCGAGATGGACAAGGCCCAGATGGCCCCCCACTGCACAGGCCATGGTAGACTTAGAACTTTCTCTAAGTGGAGAAGAAACCACTGGAAAGTTCTGAGCAGGACCTGAGATGAGTTCTTCACTGCAGCTGCTATGGAGTGAAGAGAGTGAATCAGAGAGCCAGGGATGAGGATGACACAGTCTTCAGAGGTCTGCCTGGGGTCAACTCCTAGTTCTGTGCTTACAAGTGGTGGGACAAGTCCCATCACCTCTCTGAGCCTCTGTTTCTTCATCTGTCTGATGGGTCTAATTATCCTTCCCATCTCAGAGCTGTGATGAGAATTCCCTGAGACAATGCAGGTAGTTGTAATCCAGCACATGGGCTGGTGTGCTCAATGCTGGGACCTTGGTGAACAACATCCTCCTTGGTCTCACTCTGGTGACGCTCCTAATCACCCCACCCTTAGCCACACTGGCCTCACTGCTCCTTCCGGAACATTCTAAGATGATCTGGCTTCAAGGCCTTTGCAGGTGCTGTTCCTTCTGCCTGGAGTGCTCTTTCCCTAATAGCCTGAGGGTGGGGGTGTACCTGAGGCGTACTCAGGGTTCTGATCCTCAGAGAGGTCCTCATTTTATCCCCATCCTTCCCAAGTTCCTTCAGACTGCTCAGGTGTCCTTCCGGGAACCTGCCTCTCCACATGGCATAATTTGCTCACGTGGGTTTGTTTGTTTCTTCCTACTAAAATGGCACTTCCTTTTTGGTGGGTATTTTGTTTATCTTGTTCCTGGTTGTACCCTAGTACCTAGAACCACACTTACCTCTTAGCTGTTGTTGTTGTTAAGTGCCACCTAGTGGGTTCCAACTCATAGTGACCCTGTGTAGGGTTTCCGAAGCTGTACATCTTTGCAGGCACAGGAAGCTTAGTCTTTCTCTCTTGGAGAGGTTGGTGGGTTCAAACTGTCTGTCAACCTTGTGGTTTGCAGTCCAGTCCTTATCTTTCAAAGCCACTGTGTTCCTTTTCCACTTAGTAAATGCTTATAAATGTTTGTTGATAGAATAATTGAAATTATAGTGACCATAATAAGGACAACAGAATATTTAAGAGCAAACAGTGTTTAACTCTCACCTGCTGTATGGCTTGAGATGGGGCCCAGTTTGGTTTGGGGGAGTCTCCCTATCTGTAAAATGGGAGAAGGATTGCACGATTTCTGGTTCCTTGTGAAGCTCAGGATGCACACTAGAAATGCATATTGAGTGTGGGTTGGTTGAAGGGTGCAGAGTGTCTAGCATTCTCTTTAGAATGTTACAGCAGAGTCAGGAGCAGGTGCAACAAGGATGGCAGAGTGTTGATAGCAGTAGTTTGTCATACCATTTTCTTTTCTGCTTTTTCATGTTTGAAAATTTAAGAAAGATACAGAAGACATGATAGCCTCATTGCTCACTCCTTGATTCCAGTCTTGCTCGGGCTCCTGGTGACAATCAGTAGCATCTAGCATCCCATGTCCCCAAATGGATGTGCTAGGAAAACTCAAGACACCGAGAACCAATTCTAAAGCATCACCAACTCCGTCCTCAGCTGTTCTGCACCTCCCTGGACTGAGAGACTGGCAAGGCACCTGGCAGGGAAGAGTCACCTTGCACAGGGCTCCATCAGAAGACACGCCCCTAGGACGGCAGGAAGACAGCGGGAAAATAGTGCCTACTGATGCCTGATGCTTCCTTGCCCAGTATGGGGTTGGAAACTCATTGTGGAGGACCCCTCCAGGAGGGCACACGCATGAATAGAAATATGAGAGACTCATCAAAAAGGCAGGACGTCAGCACCTCTGGGTCTCAGTTTCCCTTCTTGTCAAACTAGACGAAGAGATATCTAAGGAATGGTGTAGTACCTAACAACATGGGCTCTGTGGTCAGACTGATCTGGAATGCCACCCCGACTTTGAGCTGAACTGTTTGGCCTTGGGAAAATTGCTTTGCCTCTCTGATTCTTGCTTTCTTCATAGGTTAAATGGCCTGATGGGAATGGTGCTGAACAGCCAGGGTGACTACATAGCCCTGGGGTCATACACACCAAGTGCTGATGCTAAGGAGTGGCTGGATAGGAGAACCGCTATTACTACTTTTTTTTAAAAAAAGTTTTTATTGTGAATTGGGTGATAGTTTACATGGGAGAACATCAGCTTTACTTTCATCCTACTGTATTTCGTTTCAGTACAGTGATTACAATCCCCTCCATGTATCATCAAACAACCAGAGGGTTTGCCCTGCAAGCTTGCCCTGCTGCTGTCAGCAAAGAGACTCTCTCCCTCCCTGAGTCCAGAGTTCCCAGCTGCTCCATCTCTCCACATCATTCTCTCTACCTGCATCTCTGGTGTCACTGCTTCTCTGGATAGGGTCCCACACTCCGCTCTTCTCCCTTCATGGTCCCAGGGCCCTCCTGGACTGCAAAATCTACCACTCCCCTCATTTTGTTACAGAATGTTTGCCTTTGCATTTGCAACACTCGCAGTCAGTCCTGATAGCAATTACTCACTGTTGAATCACAAGAGTCTTATCCCTGTCTCCTTTCATTAGCTTGATGCAGACAGGTTAGAAACCACTCAGTGGATATTCTACTTTCCTCACACCCTCTGGAACTAGACTTCCTTTGAAAAGCTTGTAAGGCAGTCAATTCTTGCCTTTGTAGAACCCCCATTTTGGGTTGCCCATCCCTGTCAACCCTATGTACTGAGAGGATGGGAATGATCCTCGCTGTAAAGATTTATTCTCTCTTTTGAGCTACTACATCCATAAGTATAGGTCAAGTTCATCAAATTAAAGCAGA